GATCTCAAAAAAGGGATATATGACAGGGGCATCCCCTTTTTCCTGCCTCTGGATTTTGTCATCAGTATGTGATGACTGGTCATCAACTCCATAGTGGAATCTACTAGAGCAGCTGAGTAGCTGCCTTAGGGATGTGGTCTGTTTCCAGCATATAAGCCAGCTTTGAGAAAGGTCTCAGAACTTTTTGGCAAGCTTGGACCCTGCACATAGCTGAGTCTTCATTCAGCAGTCTGCCATGTTTCTTGCTGATCTTGGGACTGCCTCTGGACTTGAACTAGTGACCTGCTATGTTGTTTGGTAATCTTAGGACTGTGCCATTTTATTTGTCAACCTTGAGTTTGTCAGCCTCAGCAGCCAGCAGCTGCTTGAGTGAAGAGACGCCTCCAGCTCCAGTGGGCCAGGAGCAAGAGGCAGAGTTGAAGCCTAAAGTCGAGGGGCCTTCACTGAGCCCCCAAATCCTGGCACTTTGAACTCAGACTTCTGGCTTCCAAAACTGTAAGAGAATAAATCCCTGTTTGTTAAAGCCATTGATTTGTGGTATTTTCCGTTAGAGTGGGACTCGAGAACCAAAATAGTGACTAAGGTCCTCCTAATGAAGGCTATGGTATTTTCAATTGCCTCATATGCACGGGAAAGTAAAACAATAATAATAAAAAGAAGATTCTGCATTCAAATTGTGGTGTTGGTGAAGAATATTAAATATACCATGGATTGTCAGAAGAATAAGGAGCCCTGGTGGTGCAGCAGTTAAGCACTGATTGCTAACCAAAAGGTTGGCGATTTGAATTTGAACCCACCAGCCTCTTTGAGGGCGAAAGATGAGGCAGTCTGTTTTCATATTGTCTTAGTTGTTTCGTGCCGTGGAGTCAGTTCTGACTCATAATGACCCTTTGCACAACAGAACAAAATGCTCCCTGGTTGTGACCATCCCCACAATCACTGCTATTTGAGCCCATTGCTGCAGGCACTGTGTCAATTCATTACATTGAGGGTCTTCCTCTTTTTCGCCGACCCTCTACTTTACCAAGCATGATGTCTTTCTCCAGGGGCTATAACTGGAATCATCGAGTAGAACCATCCCATACAGGAAGTTTCAAGATTTGGATGTATCTGCAGATGTACTTACAGAGATTAATGGAATATATGCATACACATCAACACAAACTACATTTTTAATTTATTATAGTTATAAACCCTGGCAAACACTGCTGGTCCATAGTATGTCCTTATTTAAGAATTAGAAAGTTCATAACCAGGTCTACACCAAATAAGAAAAACAGTGCATGCCAAAGCAAATTGCTAGAGAAGATTGGTTGAAGTTGTCAAGGATTTCATTTTACTTGGATCCATAATCAATGCCCATGGAAGCAGCAGTCAAGAAATCAGACCATGTATTACATTGGGCAAATCTTCTACAAAAGACCTCTTTAAGGTGTTAAAAAGCGTCACTTTGAAGACTAAGATGTGCCTGACCCAAGCCATGGTATTTTCAATCACCTCATATGCATGCAAAAGCTGGACAATGAATAAGAAAGAATAATTGATGCATTTGAATTAGATGTTGGCAAAGCATATTGAATATACCATGGACTAGAACCAACAAATCTGTCTTGGATGAAGCACAGCCAGAATTCTCCTTAGACGTGAGGATGGTAAGACTTCCCTTCTTGTATTTTGGTTATCAGGTGGGACCAGTCCTTGGAGAATGATCTCATGCTTGGTAAAGTAGAGGGTCAGCAAAAAAGAGGAAGACCCCTATGACATGGATTGACACAGTGGCTGCAACAGTGGGCTCAAGTATGACAATGACCGTGAGGATGATGCAGGATTGGGCAGTGTTTCATTCTGTTGTACACAGGGTTCCTATGAGTTGGAAACAATTAGATGGCACCTAACTACAACAGAGAAGCAATAAAGTCATAAGAATGTTACACTGGTGAGGGCATTCAGTTCCAAGTGAAAGAAACCCAAGTCAATCTAGATTCAAGAAAAAAAAAAAAGGGAAATGTATTGGCTCACATAACTGTAAAGTCTCAGTGCAGCTTCAGATACAACTGGAGCCATATCCAACATTATAATCAGCAATCTGTCATCTTCTCTTGGCTCCACTTTCCTTTGCAGACTTTCTTGTCAGGAAGCCTCCTTTGGTTTGGCACTTCCCATGAATAGCAGGCTTATATCCTTTAAGCTTCAAGTCTTTCAGAATGAGTATCTTTTATCTTCCAATTATTTCCAACTTTCCTCCTAGACTTGAGTTTCACTGGCCTGTCTTGGGTCACTTACTCATTTCTGAATCTCTGAAGCCAGTGGGATACAATACTGAGAATCAGAGTGGTGCAGTCAAGTCCCCTGACCCATATGGACAGAAAGTCGAGGAAGGATAGTCCCAGAGAGAAATCAGGGTTCTATGACTAGAAGAGAATGGATGCTGGATGGAAAAAAACAAAAAGAAACAGCTGTCTAAACGTATACTTTCCAGGAACTGGAGTCTCTCCCTCACATATGCTAGTGGGTAACCTAGAACTAATGTGTTTTACAACTTCAAGGGCACCACTCACATTATGTTCTATTTGAAATATGCAACACAAGGGCCCTTGTGTATCACCTCTTCTCTGGGTTAGGAAGGCTGTGTCGACACCAGACATCAGCCTAGGAAAAAAAATGTTTCTAAGACCAGTAGGCCTGAGGAATGTAGGCCCTCCTCCCAGTACTGACTTTCAACAGAGCACATTTTCTAAAGAGCCTGAAAATGAGGAGAATCCTTATTAGAAACACCCTTAACTTAGTGATAGGACTAGAACTTCTTTCCAATCCCATCCAGCCATACTCAAGCTTTGTTAAGATGTGTCTGTCCCAATGAGTTGTTACACAAAGTACCACTACGTGTCCATCCCGTAGCTTTGTTATCCATAGACATTACCTTCTTTTCTGGTTACCTAGTGCTGCTCTGACAAGAATATACCACAAATGGGATGGCCTTAATAAACAGGAGTTTATTCTCTTACAGTTTGGAGGCTTTAAGTCCAAGTTCAAAGTGCCAGGCTCTAGGGGCTGGGTGAAAGCCCCTCAGCCTTGGAATTCAGCTCTGTCCCCAGCTCCTGGCCCACTGAATATAGACGCTTTTCTTCACTCAGACAGCTGCTGGCTGCTGAGGTTGACAAGCCCAAAGTTGACAAGTAAAAAACGCACAGTCCCGATGTTACTAAACCATACGGCAGGCCATTTATTAGTCCATTGTAAGTCCCAAGGTCAGTAGAGCATGGCAAGCTGCTAAACAAACCACATAGCTACATGCAGGGTCCAAGTGTGCCATAAGCTAGAGACTATTCCCAAGACTTCTTACATACAGGAAATAGACCATATCCCAAAGGCAGCTACTGAGCTGCTTGTGGTAGATTCCACCATGGAGTTGATTGCCAGTCTCATCATGGGGAATAACTACCACCAGCTGCCCAGCCACTCAACCAGGCCCAGTCAACTGGACATACAAATTTAACTACCATACCTTCCTAGGGCTTGTTGTTGTTAGGTACTGTTGAGTCATTTCCGACTCATAGCGACCCTGTGCACAGCAGAACGAAACACTGCCTGATCCCGCGCCAGCTCCACGATCCCTGCTATACTTGAGCCCATCACTGCAGCCACTGTGTCAATCAATCTCGTTGAAGGCCTCCCCCTCTTTCGTTGACCCTCCACCCTACCAAGCATGACATCCTTCTCCAAGGAATGGTCCCTTCTGACAACATGACCA